GTGTTTATTATAATGTTTGTAAACATTTCACGTCGGCATTAGGCCTATTTCTGAATGAAACAATAAAATGTGACTTATACGAATAAATAGGCCTATACGAGATGTTATGTTTTTCCCCCTAAAAAACACATTTTTTTATACGCGTAGCGTATTTTAACCATGCAGCAAACCTTTTTAAATATTTTGATAAATTACTGAAAAAATAAATAATTAAATGACTTTTTAAACCGTTTAACTGATTGTATTAATCGGTCAAAATTCTTACGGTCTGTTAACCGGTTAAACGGGTAAAATTAACATCCCTAGAGCTCTGTCAAGATCAGCATATTTGTGTTATGATTAAAGATTTTGGCCACATGCCTTTTTGATTTGATTGCTTTTAATTAAATTAAACTGTTCATAATAAATCCTTTTTTTAACTAAAAAAAAATACTCAGTAGCATCAAATATACTAGTGCTGTCAAATGATTAATCGCGATTAATCGCATCCAAAATAAAGGATTTTGTTTGCATAATATATGTGTGTGTACTGTGTATATTTATTATGTATATATAAATACACACACATACAGCATATATTTTGAAAATATTTACATGTATTTACATGTATATATTTATATTCATATAATTTATATCATATATAATAATATTATGTAAACAAAATCCTTTATTTTGGATGCGATTAATCGTTTGACAGCACTAATTAAAACATAAACCAAAAATATGATTAATTTTATTTTAATATGTAAAATGCTTGAGGACAGGATGTATTGGGAATATCGTCACGGCTGAAAGGGGTTTATATTAATATTTTATTATTTTGTACCAATTACAACCACTATATGTATATAATGATAATTATTTATACCATGGTGTGTCTGAATACTGAATACTCCGTGGAGGCCCTGCTTCATGACGGGTGGTTCTTGGCCTCCACGTTGTGAATTAAAATTGTTTAATGCACAGCTAGCCATGCATTATCCCTTACATATAATTATTCATTATATCATAATTATGTTTAATTGTATTCTTATGTACAAAACAGATAAAGGCTGAGGGGGATTTCAATATTTTATATTCATTTTTGCTGTCCGAAAAGTAGTGTGTGTGTGTGTGTATATCAGTATTTTTATGGTCTTTTTGCATATCGGTAATATAATAATAACAATAACTAAATCAATACTCCTCACCCCCACTGCACCATTTTGCTCAACATCTTTTACACATTCTTAATCTGTAAGCTCTCCTTCCAAAAAAAAAAAAACTACGAGGACAAAAAAAAAACAAACAAAGGAAAGAAAAAAAAAATCTAATAACTGAAATCTCATTTGAATCCATTTTCTATGACCAAAAATATTTTAAAAGTGTGTGTATTTAGTTAAAGGGGTCATATGATGTTGCTAAAAAGAACATTATTTTGTGTATTTGGTGTAATGCAATGTGTTTATGCGGTTTAAGGTTAAAAAAACACATTATTTTCCACATACTGTACATTATTGTTTCTCCTCTATGCCCCGCCTTTCTGAAACGCGTCGATTTTTAAAAAGCTCATCGGTCTGAAAAACGAGATGTGCTCTGATTGGCCAGCTATCCAGTGCGTGTGATTGGCCGAATACCTCAAGCGTGTGACGGAAATGTTGCGCCCCTACCATACTGTGATGCCTGTCTGGCCGGAGCGATGGATTTGAGACTTTAGTCTTTGCAACTTTACAGATCTTCTTTATGCACCAAGAGCTTGCAACACTTCAGAGAGAAAGGAAAAATTGAAATCGCATCATATGACCCCTTTAAGATCATGTTTTATCCTTTAGTCATGACTGTATTCACAATAGAATGCAGTCTCTTGTACCTTATAACTGTAATATATTCAGTGTGAAGATGAATGTTACACTAACTTAGAATATCAGTATCAACCTATCTTTATTATTCTGTCAATGATGCAGTGGTTGCTGTAAATGTAAATCAAGGATTAGCAGCACTTACTGTGGAATCTGTCATCATGTATCTCTGATATGAAACTCTGAGGGCACATGCATGACATCAGTATGCGGTCAACACA